TTATATCTGGGACTCCCCACCATTTGACCTTAGAACTGAAGAAGCCTCTCGGATGAGAGGTGAAACGTCTTCAAATTAACTTAAAGAAGTCCAGACGCTTTTCTTTGCAAGCTCCTTTGACTACGATGACCTGGATGACTGAGAACCTTCACAGACGATGATCAGGATTTATCTTTTATAAATCCCAAGAAGCCATTTGTCATGGTCCGGAGTCTGTGACTCCGTGTTTATGTTTTAGTTTATTATTATTCTGTGGTTTTGTTTATTCTGGGTTTCTTGTACTCTCCTTTTTCATGTTTCATGTTCCTATGTTCTGTGTCCCCCAGTCTGTGTTAAGTTTGTGTGTTGTGTCATTACGTGTATGTGTTTCCTGTTTTATTGTGAAGGTCTGTGTCTTATGTGAGCGTTTTCAGTTTGCCTCCCTGGTCTCGTCACGTTAATCACTCCCAGCTGTGTCCCCCACCTGTGTGTAATCGCCCTGTGTTTCTCTGAGTGTATTTTAGTCGTGTCTTCTGTCGTAGTAGTTGCTGGTTCGTCTGTGTTGTTCCCCTCCACTTTCCTGTGCATTCTCCCCGCGTTGTTCTCCCTGCATCTCTGTTTCACGTCTCAGGGTTTCAGGTTTGTTTTTGCTTAGCTTTTCCCAGTTTAGTTTACTCTTAGGTTTTGGTTTTCGTCCACCTCGTCCCTGTTTGTTTCACCTTTTTGTTAATAAAGCTCACTCACAACTTAAGCAGTCTGCATCTTGGGTCCGTTAATAATTCACACACGGCTTGCCCCGGCAACCCGTGACACCATTATACTCATTTTTATATATTATCATTTAGTAGTGATGGCCAAATGAAGCTTTCTGAAGCATTGAAGCTTGTATTGAAAAACTGTTCATTACTCTAAGCCACAGGTGTCGAACTCCAGGCCTCGAGGGCCGGTGTCCTGCAGGTTTTAGACGTGTCCTTGATCCAACACAGCTGATTTAATGGCTAAATGACCTCCTCAACATGTCTTGAAGTTCTCCAGAGGCCTGGTGATGAACTAATTATTTGATTCAGGTGTGTTGACCCAGGGTGAGATCTAAAACCTGCAGGACACCGGCCCTCGAGGCCTGGAGTTCGACACCCCTGCTCTAAGCTTTTCCCCACAGTCCTCTCTGATGACATCTGGTGGCCAAAAATATGAAGAGCAGCTTGAATCCACAAAATAAAACCAACTGCTTCATAATGATTGCCCACTCTACAGAGTGGAATTCTGTCTGATATTGGGCTGCTGTTGTGTTGCTTTGAATGCGTATTTTTGGTGTTAAAAAAATGTGGTTTATTTGTTTAATAAATAATTTTGACCAGTAA